GTTAATGTTGACTTCTGAACACTCCACTGTTAAATCACCACAGGTCAAATAGGTTTCATAATAACAGCAACATCCTAACTGCAGGTCACTGGACCTCTGGAAGTTAATTTTGGCTCACTATCATTCACACCTTATGGACACAGACAGCTCTGCAATATATAAACATTATTCACAGCATACAGCCCAAGTCACAGCTTTAAAATCACAGAGTCAGAGAGTGGCCTGGGATGGAAGGGGCCTGAAAGATCACCTGGTTCCAACCCCCCTGCCACGGTCAGGGACAACTTCCACCAGATCAGGTGGCTCAAAGCCCCATCTCTCCTGGCCTTGAACACTTCCAGGAGTAAGGCATCCACAGCTTCTCTGGGCAAGCTGTACCAGCAACTCCCTAAAGAATTTCTTCCTACTATCTAATCTAAACCCACTCTCAGTTTGAAGCCATTCTCCCTTCCTTGTCACTACATGCTCTTTCTTGTAGAAATCTCTCTCCATAATTCCTGTAGGCCCCTTTCAGGTACATCAAGGCCATACTTTATATATCTTTTTGTTACACTGACAGCATGAATTAGGCCTCAATCCAAACAATCTCACAATACCAGAAGGAAAAAAAAGGAAATTGTAAAATATATTTTAGTCCTGCATACTTGATGAGCTAATGAAATACATCCATGGAATATAATACGAAAACTCACCATTGCAAGAGAGTAATTTTCTCAGAAAAAAATATACTTTTGAGCTAAAAAGAAGGAAAGTGTTTTAAAGGCTGTAAAATCAGCTGGTTTTACCTTGTAAATGTTCCTCAGGACAAGATGCATTTTGTCAGGATGAATGGCAGAAAGCACAAATATAAGTGTGACAACATCCACGGAATCTGCTGGTATATTGTCTAGAAGATCATCTTTGGTAAGATCACACTGGAACACTTTACATCTTTCAGTACTATATAAGGCATTTTTCTAGGGAAATTAAAAGAGCAAGCTTTCACTGAAAATTAGCAGCATTTGTTGCTACAATAAAGTAAAAATCTTGTGAAATTAATCAGTAGAGAGACACAAAACACAGTGGCAAGATAACATTAACCTCCAACAGGTGGCTACTGCTATCAGAAATTCTTTGCTGCTAACTACAATAGTGAAACTACAACTAGAAGAATAGCCTGTTCCCATGAATTTGAGAAGGAATGTGCATTAAGACAATTCAGAAAACATTTCTGTTTTACTCCTGCTTCTACTTTTTAAAGAAGACATAACCTCTGCTGAAAGAAATTACATATTACAGGGTGATGAAAGTAAAGCTCTTGAGCTACAGGTAGATTGCAAACATTTGGGGTTCCTGTCACACAATCTGCAGCTGGGCTGCTCTAGCCCCAGTTTTGCTATGGAAAAAAAAAAAAAGAAAACCCAGTCTTGGCAAAAAAAAATAAATTCAGCAAGAGCTGTGGAGGCAGATGCCATTAAGTCATCCAAAACCCAGGGTACAGGCTCAGCCCAACCTCATCTTGGGGTGCAGCCACAGCATCCCAGGGAGCTGCTGTCCTCTTCTGTTTGCCACAGGTATTTCTTCCCATCTTTTGCATGATAAATGCTGTCTGTGCCTTGTGGTTCTTGGTCACAATGCTTTCAGTTAACAGATATATAGGAATTTATCTGTGATTACAAACTTAATAATGGCTTTTAATGCCCAAAGCCCCCACCAGCCCTGCTGCAAGACTCCACTTTGGACTGCAGTACCCACGACTAAGTGTAAACATACCTACTCCTAATCAGGTTACAAACCCCTTTAACAATAATTTCCAGCCTTGTTTTTAAGGTTCTCCTTGGGACTCCCTCTATTAAGGGCAAGCTTCCATGACAAACAAAATTTTGGTTTTACTGCACAGTCAGCAGAGACATAGTAGTGCACCCAAAAAAAAAACTATCTTCATAAATCATTCATGTAATATACCATAATGCTCTAATTTGACACTGAAAAGCCAAGTCTTGAGCAATGATTTGGCTTCTTACATAGGATCTCCACTGAAATGCATCAGTCTCAATTTTTTTGGCAAAGCATATTCTACCGTTCCTACAAAAAGGAAGCCAAGAGAAGTCTGTTGTTACAGTCATTTGTAATTTTAGAAGCTTCTAAAAAACACTCTAAAAGAAGTTCCAAATATCACACCAACCTTCACATACTCAACAGCTCTAGGAGAGAAATCACAGGCATATGCAAAAATATTCTTATCTTCTTCTAAGAGTGGAAACAAGCAGTTCCCAACCCCGCAGCCTGCTTCCAGAATGGTCAGCTTTTGATCTGCAAACTGGGGAGGAAGCAATACAAGACAAAACATAATTTTTGTTTTCTCATCATGTGAGCAGAGGCACTGTTCAACCAGCATTTTAAAAGCTATAATCAATTTTAATTACAATTCTTCAAAAAAAACCAAAGTAGACAGCCACTGCATAATCTGACATTAAAACCCAGACATCCCGAATTTCCACAGAATTAGAAATAATTTTAGAACATATTAATATTTCTTCAGTCATCTATCTCTTAAGTAATCAACAGACTTGTGCTATTTCTGTCTTGTCTTTCATTCAGCTGTAAGGAACAACAGATGCATCTGGCTATTCCCCTTAACCGTGTTCAGCAGTCAGCCTGCAGTTCTGGATGCTTTTCTCTAAAGCAGTGTACTGAAGTGCACCAGCTTGCACACACAGAGACAAGCTGTCTACTTTAGGACTCAAAAACCAAATATTCCAGACTGCACTCTCAGCATCCAGGATGCTATGAACAGCACCCCCATCCAGTAAGGGCCAATTACACACTGAAACTAAACTGATGCATATGATTCTGAGACCTTATCTTTTATATTAAAGGAAAATACACAGTGCACTGCAGACTTTACATGTGGCAGCTCTTACCCAAATGGCTTTGTTCTAAGTATTATTCACTCCCCTGGAAACAACTTATTGGAAACAAGCAATCCCATCTTTTACAGCAGAACTGTACAGACCTCACCTCACGACATGCCTTTAACTCTTGAAACTCTCTGGTTGTCCAATGTCTGTCTTTGAAGAAGTTGGTGCTGTTTCTTTTGTAAAATAGATCCCAGTTCTTCTGTGCCTCTTTCTCCAGTTTTAGCTGTTTGAACTCAGACACCAAAACCTGATCTTTTGCCAGCTTTTCCGCTTCTTCTGGGCTAAGGACTCGAGCACTGTGGCCTTTCTTTTGGAAAGCACCATCTTCAGTAGATGTTGGTACTATATTTAAGCAATTTGCTGATGCCTTTTCTTGAAACATCCTAGATTCTTTCACACAAACATGAACACCAAAGACCCAAGGATGAGTTTTTTTCTTTAGTGTATGGTTCCATCACTTAACTTAGGTTAAATAAGTGAGGATCTAGAAGCAGAATTAAAAATGAGAAATAATTACAGTATGCACTTACTACAACTTTAATGATCTGTCCTACCTGATGGACTTACATCTCATCAGATTTCTCTTAATTTCAGAAAACGTTCATCTAAGCTAAGAACTGTATACAACATCACACTGATGTCAAAGTTAAAGAGGATACTTCAGAGTCTCCTGGTCTTCCCTCTGCATTCTAGAAACCCAACAAGAAAAAGCTGGTGCAGCTCTAACTTTATTTTCACTAATAGAGACTTGAGAAGGAAAGCAAGGGCTTTGTTTCTCATTAACGTCACTTAGAACACTTCCGGAAAAAAAAGGTAACTTAAGAACAGATGACATTTGAGAGTCACATTCAAATTAATGAAACAAAGTGTATTCACATTAGCATTTCTCCTTCCTGCTCTCAGCTCTGTGAGAAAACACTGGTGAAAACAGCATTTATAACATGTCACCTAAGGAAGGGAACAAAACCAGTACTGCGGGAAAAATGCCCAGAGCTGGCCTGTGCCAGCATTCATCCCACTGCCTCCTCCTGAGGTTTTAACAATCCACGCTGGTTTTAACAATCACAGGTGGTTTTGCTTTCAGAAGTTAACAGAAAGAGCTTCACATAGGCTGGGAAGGGAGTCAAACATTTTCTCTGATGTTAAACTGGTTCTGACATCTGCCTTGTCATAAACATGCAGATCCTGGATGATGGAACATGGCAATTAAATCCTGCATGGCTCTGTAACTCGCAGGGAAGCCCAGGTAGCAAACACACACCACTCGTGTACATCAGTGCCCAGAGCCAGGCACTGATTGGTGTCAATTTACCAAAAAGGAAATGAGAAAACCACAACAATACACACCCTAAAACAAACAAACAAACAAGAGTAATACTTCACTTGCGTATTTTATCTTAAGATAAAATACATTCTATTACACGTAACACGGATTGTATGTACATGTTATATATGATGCTATCATGATATATACGTCATGACACAAACATAAAATACGGAAGCGTGCAAATGAAGAACTGTCAGAATTTCATCCAGCGTCACAGACACACCCTCTTTTCCTCCAAGAACAGCGCAAGAGGTTATGAAGAAGAGGCTCCTTCGAAAGGATGTCTCTTCAAGAAGAGCATATCAGCAAAACAAACAAACAAAAACTTAATCAGCAACATTTCTGCCGTATTTCTACACCCGCCTATATCCCAGGCACGCTCCATTATTTCATCACAGAAGGAGCACAAACGCAAACAAACAAACGCGAGCCATTCCTTTCAGTGACGCCTCTGCTGCGGTGGGAAGGCAGCGCGATGATAAACTCAGTCGCAACAGCCCATGCTTAGGCTAAAGAGCCTTTTAAAGGTGTTTAATCCAGAGCTAAGCCCACAAACATGTAACACCTCCGAGTGATCCTCCGGTCCCCCCACGCGGAACCGGCTTCCCTCCCGCACCTCCTGCCCCAGCGTAGTCGGGGCTCAGATACCCCGGCAGGGAAGGGAAGGAAACACCTCCTGCCCTGCCCTGCCCTGCCCTACCGAAGGCTTGGATACCCCGGCAGGGAAGGGAAGGGAAGGAAAGCCCCTCCTGCCCTGCCCTACCGAGGGCGGGGAGCGCCGGGCTCCCACCTCCCCGGGGACCCTCCCCGGGGCAGCAGCCCCAGCCCGGCCCCGGGCGCCCGCCTCGCCCCGCCGTACCCGCCGCCAGCCCCGGAGAGGGTTCCCGGAAGGGAAAGCCAAGAATTTCCGGGAGGACGCCGGGCGGCCGCGCACGGAGGAGAGGGAAGGGACCGGCCGGGCCGGGAGCGGGGCCATGAACGGCTCGGCGAACTCGTTGCTGGACAAGGAGGAGCACCCGCTGCAGCTGGGCGAGAGCTTCGAGCGGCGGCCCAAGGCCTCCTTCCACACCATCCGCTGTGAGCGCCTCCCCCGCGGCCGCCTCTTCCTCCCCGCTCGCGTCCCGTCCCCCGGCTGCGCTGCTCTTTCTGCCGCGCCCACCCCGCTGCTCCCCTCGCCTCCCTCGCTCCGCTATCGCGGGGCTCCATCCCCACTCCGTCCCCACTTTCTTACCCGCTCCCCTTCTGCCCCCTTATCGCCCGTCTCCCCCTTCCCTTCTATCCCATTCAGCGCCGTGCTCCCCCCCGTTCCCCGCTGTCCCTCCACACCCGTCTCGCCCTTTCCCGCTCCCACGGCGCCCGTCTCTCCTCCCCAGGAATGTTTTCCCCACAGAGGGGTCGCGCCCGGGAGGAAGGGGAGGGTGGATGCTGGCGGGTTTGAGCGAGGCAGGCCAAGGCGAAGGGACAGCTTTAGAAAGTTTGCCATTAATCGCTCGGAAGCACGAGGAGTTCCCCCCGTAAGGGGTGGCTTTGCCATCTTGTTTTTTTTCTCTTTGTGGCAATTAACTGCAGGACAGGTGGCACCGCAGGCCCGGCCTGGAGAGGCAGCCCGAGCATCCAGAGTTGGGTTTTTAGCTGGGTGTTTTCCTGATGAAGCAGTGTGTATCCCAGAAGAGCTCTCCCTGGCTGTCCCGACTCCAGCCAGCTGTAATAAGTCAGTATGCCAGGAAAGCAAGCAGAAGGGACTCAGACACTTACAGTAATGCCTAATAAATGCAAGATAAATCCTGAGGTAGATTGTTTTGAAGAGGAACACATTGTATTACTGTACTTGAATTCTGTGGGGCAAGAAATCTGAGCAAAACGAGTCCAGTTTTTATTACTAAAATGACTGGTAAACCATCAAGAGTAAATGTAAAGAATACTAAACTTATAATTTAGTAGGGGAATTTATACAAAAAACAGTAGGATATTTTGGCTTATGATGCACAAATACAGGCCTGGTCTCATTGCCCATATTCATACACCACAAATAGTAGTTTCAGTGATACTGGTCACCCAAGTGCCTGATCCTGTGTGAATTAAACCCAAACTATATCCAGGTGGAAATATACTGGATTTTTTAAATGGAAAGTGCTTCGATAACCAATTTCCTAAGGAATTGCAAAGCCAAAGGTCTTCAGACTACAACTGGAAGAATGCAGTTTTATTTCAGAAGATCTTTCTGAATGCTCTATTTTCCATCTGTGACTTTTAAATGAGATTTCTTCATTGTCTTGGTATATTTTTCCCCTAACTGTTGTTCTGGAAAGATTTATCTGGGTTCCAAACACTATATTATTGCCATAATCCTCTTCACACAAACTACAAAGAGAGGATTTTGTAGGCTACATTTGTTTCAACCTTCTTAAGATACTTCATTCCCGTACTGAGAAACTGGATTATCCTTGAAAAACACATCTTGAAACATCTGATTTTTGGGAAAAGAGCTGTGGGTATATTTGGAGGGAAATATGTGCTCTCCATCTACATGAGCATTAGCCAGGCACGTGATAACAAAATGAAAACAATTAGTTGAGTGTTTGTTTAAAGTAATTCTATATTGCTGTGCCCAAGAAAGAAGTCTGGTAGTGATATTCCTTTTAAGTTGGTGACTATGCTGTTGGAACTCTTGATCCCGTTTTGGCAAAGACACTATCTCTTGTACAGCTGGTTTATTTTATTTAGCAAGCTTGCACATAAAGTAGGTGGGAAACAATAGCTAGAAACAGATTGCTCAGATGAAATTGAAGGCTATGATTTGATCTGGCAGTTATGGCATGAGGATTAAGTCAAGTGTGTCTGATTCTGCTTGTTGTGCTGTCAAAGTAAAACTCAATTAAATATTAACATCCTCTTAATGAGAATTTATTACAAGCCAGGGTTTGGAGTTTTTCTCCTGCAAATGTGTTTTTCATAGTGGAATTATATTTTAAATTTGTTCAGAGGTATTAATTTCATAACTAATGTGGTAATTAAAAGCCTTGATCATGAATATAATTGCACCTCTTCAGATGCAGGGATGCTAGAGTTGAATGCAGGCTTCTTATAAAAACAAACACAAGGCAAACTAGCCTATAGCTGTGTGATTTTATTTCAATTTGTCTAAATCCTCTCTCAAGATATTAGAGGTTCTGATAGGTTTTTTTTTTCCTGTTATTTTATGGCTTACCAGCACAACAGAATAATGAGGGGAAAATACTTTTAACTTAAAATATTCTCAGTTCAAATGAATACATTAAACAGAAGAGCCTGGTTGGGAGACAAAGCGTTGCTCAACAGAGCAAAACTACCTAAAACAAGTGTAAATTTAAGGCCAGTACAGTGCCTCCCCTTACTGGTGCTTTCTGTCCACAGTGGCTCTGAACCAGCATGAAGCTGCTGTAGTAAGATCAGCACCTCTCCCTTTCCTTATAATTGAGAGCTGAGATCTCCTCCACCCATGTGGAGCTTTTGGCACTATTGTGGAGGCGAGATGGCCATTAAAGAAATTACTGAAATATCAATAAGACTAAATAAGTGGGTGTCAGTAAATTGGTGTTTGTCACAGAGGAGTCCTCAGTGTCGCAATTGGCAAGAGCTAAGCAGAGCCCAGGGTTTTGGAAGTTGTTACTCTCTTGAGTTTGATTGGTACAATTTTACACTTGCCTGTAAAACCAAGGGCCACTCAAAGCTACAGTTGTCGCAGCAGGTGGAGGTGGTGAGAGTGCTGTGACCTTCCCAGAAAAGTGTCTTTAAAAAGACATCTTGGGTGGAAGGGACAGAGGCTTCATATGGGATTCCACAGAGGGTCTTTATTGAGCTCCTGCCAGGAAAGGGTGCAGGGAGCAGGTGATTATATAGGGATAGCAAGGGGTGGGGCAGAACATCAGAACAAATGAGAGGAGGGCACAGGCGTGGAACAAAGGGGAAGGGCCAATGGGATACATAGAATCAACATATGGCAATAATGCATTCTGGGGGAAGCTTTTTCCTCACCATGACCAAGAGGTTGTTGCTTAAGGACTGTCCTTTAAGGGGACCCTAGTCAGCTTCTCAGCCAGTTTGCCAGCCTCCATAAGTGTCATTAAATTAGTGTTTGTCACAGAGGAGTCCTCAGGTTTGCAATTGGCAAGAACTAAGCAGAGCCCAGGGTTTTGGAAGTTATTACTCTCTTGAATTTGATTGGTACAGTTTTACACTTGCCTGTAAAACCAAGTGCCACTCAAAGCCTGGGGGTTTGGAGAAGTCTGTTTTTGGTGTTCAAACACAAGATGTACAACCTTATTTCTATTTTAAAAAGGAAGCTCAGAATACGGTACCACCACATGACGGAGTTGCTACATGTAGACACAATGTACTGGTGTGTTATTCTGCCCTGCTGTAAACACTAGTGTGTGTTTTACCAATCACGGTAAATGTATGGTGGCTCTTTGCAAGGCACATTGATGCTTCTGGAGACTCTAACAAATGTAATCACAATTGTTTTCCTCTTTAGATGATTTTAAGCCAGCATCGATTGATACGTCTTGTGAGGGGGATCTCCAAGTGGGTAAAGGAGATGATGTTACCATCACTTTGCCACATATTCCAGTAAGTCTCTTATATATATATGATCCTGTTTTCTCTCCAACAAATTTGCATTGTTGTTACATTCTAATGTAAATGCTATTTTCACTTTCTTTATTAACACCGTGGGTTCAATATTTAAGCAGCTATAGTTTACCACCTTAGGAAAGGACTGTACAGTTGGCTCTTTGTAAAGGGCTATATTTGTAAGGTTGCCAAATTGTTCTTTACTTTTGATTCCTTCCTTCCTACTCTTCCTTGAAAGGCAAGGAGACTTTTACTATTAGCTGAAGCTGTACACCTGGTTCCCATCCATTTTTAGTGCTGTGTAAAGGTAATGTCATTCGGGCTTCAGTCAAAGTTGGATGTTCAGAACCCACAGTCAGACCTGTAAGCATGCTCCTGCCTTTCTCAATCATGTACAGATAGGGCATAGAGGGTTCCCTGCATTTAGCTTTATCAGTGGAAGCAAGGGGACAGTCCTGGTGAGTGGCCATGAAGTAGTTTCCCATCCACTTCCTTCTCTAATGATGCCATAAAGATCTACTGTGTGAGGATGATGGTCAAACAGCAATAAAGTGATCAATCTGTTTATAGGTGCAGCTGGTTTGTAATTGAAGATTCAGTGGTTTCCTTACCAAAACAAAAGAAATTGCTCATGTGCTGGAAGTGGATTTATTAGCTGAAGTTAATGCTATGTGTCAAGCCAATAAACCAGAATTCACAGACATCAATGGGTCTGGTAGCTGCAGGGGGCACCAGTTTGGAAGCCGTGTGTCAGATCCTTTTGGTATTGTTGTTCCCAGCACATCTGTGGTTTTAATTGGTAGGTGATGGTACTGTGATAATTGTCACTGAGTGAAGCTGTAGCCTGCTTCACCCTGCTCCTGTTCATTATATGGCTTTGGTCACCTTCAGTTCTGCAGGAGGTCACACACTCCTTTGTGTGAGTTTTTGTCTATTGAAATGATGAGCATGGTAGTGCTATTGGAGAGCAGGTAACAGCACAACAGCAGCATTCATCTTGGATTAGTTGGAAACAGAGTTGCTCATTCATTTTTTTGTGTTGAGCAGCATCACTTGTAATGTTTCTTTCCAAATCTCTGTACTGAGGAGCTTAATTTGATTATCTTCCCCTCAGTATGAGCAGGCTTGAGTTTATGGTATGCTGCAAAGGCTGAGGCAGCCAAGCCACTCTGTGTATGTTGTTCCAAGGCAGTGCTGCCTGTGTTCTGGACAGAGAGCTGGAAAACACTTGGCATACTGGAAAAGAATGAGAGGTTTTGAGATTGTTTCATCCTGACAAGTTTCACTGAATTTCTTGGATGCTGCTTTGCTTCCCAGTTGTCCAAAAATTGGATAGGATTCAAATTCTGAGTTGAGGTTTTCTTTTTGAAACTGCCTAGTGCCTGAGAATATCTCTGATAATTTGTTTGGTGGAAATATTTTGGTGTCTCTTGCAGCTTGGATAAATTGAAGTACTATTTTTACATGTGGATTTAGTGACTTTAATACTTGAAAAAAAATCTGGATTGGGGAAGGGAAAATTTCTGCTTGTTAGAGTACTACAGAAGAAGATCATAGACTATCATGAGTTGGAAGGTCCCCACAAGGATCATCAAAATCCAGCTCCTAACCCAGCACAGAACAATCCCAAGAATTACATCATGTGCCTGAGAGCGTTGTCCAAGAGCTTCTTGAACTCTGTCAGGCAAAAAACCCTCACAGGTGAAAACAATTCTGTCCTGTAATCAGCAAAATCTATACGCCATTGTTACTTAGGCACCAACATAAACCCTAAACATTTAGTTTTAAGTAGAAGAGTGGGACTTAATTTGCTTAAGCACTTACACTTCTACTTATTGTTTAGCCAAAATCACAGTCTTTGCTGCTTTAGGAGGCTTCTGGGTAGCAGAATGATAGCCAACAAACTTTGATCATTATACCTTTCCTGGCTTAGTTGTCAACAGCAAGCAGGATTTGACTTTAAGCTTTCTTTTTACTCTCTTAATTTTTGCTTTCCTCTCTTAAATGTAGGAATGATAAAAATGTAACATGCCTTTGAAGACTAGACTTTCTTGAGACATCCTTTCTGAATCTCTCTTACTGTGTCTTTTGTTAGGAGCTCAGATTTTTCACACTTACTGTTCAGAACCTATTTTAAATTCAAATATATTCTATCTGTGAACAACATGGAGAATAGGAATTGCTTTCAGAGTAGCTAAAATGTGATTGTTCAGTTTTGCTACTCAGAATAATATATAGGAGAGTGCAGGATTTTTTCATTTGCTCCCTGGTTTCGGTTGCTTTCCTGCAGTATGTGCAAAGGTGCATATGAATAAACATTTATTTTTAAAATCACATTCTTTTATACAGTATCTACACATTACAGAGAAACCTGAGAATGTTTTATAGTTGAGAACATAACCCCTTGAGTAACAGCTTTTTGACGTGGCCAGGTGTGTATCCATTCTATTACATGCAGATAGACCATGGGTTCAGTTGGCTGTAATGTCAAAACCAGGTATGGGCCAGGCTGTGCAAGGATGCAGTACAGCTGAGCATAATCTCAGCATTACCAGTTAGCCAGTGTGCACCACCACATGAGTTTGTTGTCTTTTTTGCTTCTCAGTCTAAGCCTTTAGACTTCTAAGGCTCTGTGTAACATTGTGCGGACTTGGGGACTTGATGGGAAGGCATCAAAATACCCCATTTGCCTTTGAGAAGACATTTCAGTATGATTGCATGGGCATATGCATGCTAATCTGACTTTGAAGAAGGCAGCTGCTCTTACATAGTTTGTAAGTGACAATTGCTTGTAATCCACTGTGAAAATACTGCCATATATATTTATGTAAAATATATGGTGCAGTTTAAATTATTTTTCAATTGACCGCATATTTCCTTGGGCAATAGTTCTGCTGCACAAATTATTAGAACTTTATTTCTTATCCAAACCCATGATTTCCAGGGCAGAAACATCAAGAAGATTTCTGATACTTGTCAGGGACAGCTATGCAAATTTAGTTATGCTGCCATTTTGGGAATGAGAACTGTAAATAAAGGCAGCCATGGCGAAGATGTTTTGTCACAACAGAGACACTTAGAATGATGAAAGGCATAATATTGCTATGAGGAAATGTCTGATCTACTGCACATTTTCTCTGTATTTCTCTCTTCATGAATGAATATTTTCTGTAGGTACTAAACATTAAGTTCTTAGCCTGTTTTTCAGAACAAAACATACATTCTTTCCTCTTAGTATTCATAAATTTTTGGACAGGGTAGTATAACCAGACAAATATGTGCTCTTTCTTTGTACCAGGGTTCAACTCCACCAATGACTGTCTTTAAAGGAAATAAAAGGCCGTATCAGAAGGACTGTGTGCTTATTATCAATCATGACACTGGGGAATATGTGCTGGAAAAACTTAGTAGCAGCATTCAAGTCAAGAAAACAAGGTAAAGCTGGGGACAGGGTTAATTGATAGGATTAATTATTGCTGAAGTTTCAAATTAAGACTGGGTTTTGAAACAGAACTCTCTTATTTTGTAGTGATGTTTAATTACCAAACCTTAGCTTTACGTGGCCAATTATCATGCCTAAAAATGCAAATAGGAGTGTGAATCCAAGAGTAAAGAATTTGCAAATTCTCCACAGCTGAAATGACATAATTATAGTTTGCAGTGAAACACCTGTGATGGTTTCAGGCTTTAGACGCTGGCTGAAGGATGGGATGTGTTTCAAGAATCTCTAGTTAGCCAAAAAAATCCATGAAAATATTAGGCTGTCAAAAGGATTACTGGACTTTCTAGGTTTGTTCCCTACAACTTCCTGTGGGAGTCAGGATATTTCAATAACATAATCTTAGGGAACAAGAAACACTCATTCCCATATTGGATAAGCAATATATTAAGTGAAACACAAGTACAAAGCCTCCAGCTGGTGAAGGTGGACAGAGAAATAATGGTTATAGTATTTTGCCTAGAAGAATTGATGAAGCCAGAAATACTTTCTGACCCAATACTCTTCTGCACAAATGCTACAAAGTATGCAGCTGGAAAGTTTTTGTCAGTCCTATTGCTCAGCAAGTGCCTGAAGTGTCTGGATCTTTCAGCATCACTGAACCACAGGTTGACACATAAAGAGAAAACAGTCACTCGAATATCTTGTGAAGAAAAGACTCTTGAATAAGTTTACAAGTTTTACATTAAAAAACACTTTGTTGCAGTATAGAACCCCTGGCTGCTAAAACTACTAGAAATGTGGGTTGCTGCTCATTGGTAGTTGGCTGGGTGTTTGCCAGGAACACCTTGAGTTCAAGGTAAATGGACTGTAACACTCCTCTGAGTCACTGATGTGAAAACTCATCCATGTAGCATTCATCTTGTCCAGTGGATATGAGCACATCAGAGATGAGACTGGAATTCCCAATTTCAGTTCTGCTGGACTTTGTCTGGGTGAAGCTTAAGTCAGAAGGGAGCAAATAAGTGCAGGAGGGCCTGAGTTCTGTGAGATTGGTTACACTGAGTTTTGAGTCTCGTGTGGGTAAAAATACTTAAAATTTTCTCAGGTAGTAAAAAGTTTGGGGGTCCCTGTTCTGATGAAAAGTGCTTTGCAAAGTCATTGATTTTCTAGATCAGAAGTGCCTTTTATTTTCCATGGCTACTCTGATCTTTAACGACCTGTTGGCACTCTGTGGGAACAGGGCTTTTAATGTTAATACCTTGATGAAATTCACAGGGGAGTAAGTGAACTTACTCCACATAAAACCATCTGTAGTTCCAAGAGCATAATTAATGCTGGAAATCTTTTACCATCCACTTGATACAGTGAGTATCTTGCCAACTTCTCACTTCTGCTGTAGATAAACTTTAAGCTGCATTAATGTGGTATCTAACAGCTGCATGTCACTGATGAACGAAGAGAGGGTTGGTTCTGTGTGAGACTGAATCTAGAGTTCACTGAGGCACAGAGATATCCCAGTAAACACTCCATGTACCAGCTCTGGTACCACAGGTGGTTTAGGTGAATCCCCAGGACGTTGAACATGGGCTAGTTTAACTTATCTCATATTATGGGATTAGTTTCCAGACACAAAGTGTAACACTACTGAGGTGGGACCCTCCTAGAACAGAAACTGAGCTCTCATATCCACAAGCTGCTTCTGTGCTGCACTGCACAAAGCCATAACCCCAAAGGCTTTGCTGTTATGCAATAAATACACCACACCCTTTAGACTTATTATGGTGTACTGTAAAGGAACCTACTTTGGGTTTGTGGTTTGTTTTTTGGGTTTCTTTTTCTGCCAAGGGTATTGACTGTTCTGCAATCTCAATCACATCAGAAGTTCAGTAAAAGGCAGAAATACCTGGTTTGAACTGAACAGATTGGCATAGTGTTATTCTGGAGACTATTTTCCTCTAAGGAAATGGCTTAAACTGTTTTGAAGGGCTAACAGCAAATGGATAGAACCCAGGAATTGAATGCTTATATGCTGTATTTAGCAGTAAGAGTGATTACTCCAGCCAAGTTGACCTCTGAGAGAGTTCAGTTTGAGATTATTTAATTGCAACTGAGAAAATTGTTTCTTTTGCTGTGACTGTTTTAAGCAGGATTTTGTTGTGAATGGATTTGCAGTTACTTTAAATTACTATGATTGATCATTCTTTTTTTAAAAATACAACTACTAATTGCTAAATTAAAGCCTTCATTGTTGTTCAAGTAGAGAATTTGGCATCACTGAACCACATCTGGATTTGAAAATACATTTTGTAAGGGTGTTGCAGTGTAGTTGTATATGTTTCTTTGTTATTGAAAGTAAGTGTTGCATACAGAAAGCTGTAATTCAGTCTTCATCTTTGTAAAACAAATTAGAGATCTGTACAAAAGGAAGTCAGGGATGAAGCGTTAGTACAAGGATATTGAAAAAGCTGGACATAGTTGCACAGTACCACTAAATGTGTCTGGTTGTTTCTTCAGAGCAGAGGGCAGCAGTAAGATCCAAGCCCGAATAGAGCAACAGTCTGCCCGAGCATCTCAGCCTCCTTCACAGTTCAGAGCCCCAACCAAGCCAGCAGTTGGACCTAAAACTTCTCCTTTGAAGGATAATCCTTCACCAGAGCCCCAGCTGGACGATATTAAGAGAGGTAAAGAAGGGTTTGTAGTTTTTTTGTCTTTCTTCTTTATAATAAAAACTATGACTATGCAATTTCTAAAAACATTCAGGGATTAAAAGATGGTACTTGATAGCTGTGTTGACTTCTTTATATCTTGTTTCTTTATTCATCTTAGTAAACTCATTATTTATTCTCTTCTACTAGAATAGATCTTTATATTGCCATCTTCCCTGGAGTGAGAAAACTTCCTCTTTCTGGGTAATTTTCTTTCTCTGTTGGGGAAAGAAGAAAAAAACTTAATGTGAATTCAGAAACCTGTAGCTCAGTGCTGGACCAATTGCAGGGGTGTCTTAGGCCACCACAGCAGCAATAACAAAGTGTAATGGTCCACGGTCTCGTTACACAGTCAAGTCACTTGGAGAAGGTTACCCTGCACTGAGTAAGGCTGGGGGGATGGAAGGGCTAGGCAGCTGTGTTCCCAGTACAAGACAAGCTTGCACCATGGCAAGCACTGCTAGTAGGGGAGGAATGAGAGAGTGAACAAACCTGCAGCTTACCCTCTTCCACAATCACTCCTTTGCAGCTTTGACACACATGCCTTATGGCTGCTAAACTTCTATTTAAAAAGTACTTTGAAGAAATGATTGGCTCAACTCACTCTTTTGCTTAGGCAGAGCTTTGTCTTAGTGTTCTGCTGTGGGTAGGGCTCAATTTCTTTGCCCATGCCCTTCTTTTGCTACTGATGGGATACCTGTTTTTGCTGTGGATAATACAGTCAGGATAAGGAAGACTTTAAATTTTTGTTTGGTTCTTCTCTGGCACCAACACCAGACACAATTATTTTATTTTAAGCTAGTTCTTTCTGTCTGCTTTTTTTTTTTTCTGGGTTTCTTTCTCTTTTTTCTCTGTCCCATATAGCTATTTTTGTCTGGAGACTTAGCCTATGTTAATTGCCCAGATGAAGTTAATTACTCAGCAGGGTGTTTTTTCAGTTCATGCTAATCACTAGGTGACACTTTTGCTGCTAAACTGTGTGTTTGCATAGGTGCTGACTGGTCTCACTTTTCTGCAGCAGTAGTGTTTTCAATACTTGGATGCTGGTCAGCAGCCTGAATCAACCTCTGAGAGATTCTGTTAGCTACATTGTTATTTTTATTTTCTGTATAATAGGTAAGAAAAAAGAAAATAGATGATATATCAATTTTTTAAAATCAGATCAGTTGTGGATTTTAAATGTCTTTTCCTATAGGGTATAATAAGTTACTTAACCTTTGGGGCACTCTTTTGTATACATACAGCAATTTGTAAAGATTGTATTACAGTAAAATAATTACATTTGTCTGGGGTGACACCTATTCTAAAAGATAATTCTCTAGTGGTCTAAAGTCACATTGTTCAGAGCTATCCTAATATTTTTTTTGCCACCTGATAATCTTTTATATGAAAATACCTCCAAATAAATAACCTGTGGGGTTTTGTTTCCAAAATCAAGAGTTAGAGCACCTGACTTGTACTAAAAATAGGACTTTAATTTGGTGCTTTATAGGGGGAGTTGTACAAAGCCCCAGAAGAGCCAAAAGCCTGGGCAGGGGTGTTTTTGCTTATAGTCTATAACTCTTTCCAGCACTGATGATCTAGAGTGTCAGCCTTGCTGAACCATTTATATCATAAGAACCTACTTAAAAGAGGTAGAATTAAAATTTTGACACCATTCCACAATGAAATGCGGACAATGACCTGTAAAAGCTGTAATGTAGTCTGCAATCCTGTTATCTTCCCTTAATGTGTGTTTTTATGAACACAGACTTGTAAGTTCAGAAGAGCATGTGTTCTTTCCATTCAAGTAGAAGCTTTAGTTTTGGTTCAAGTACTTCCTCTGTATGAGAGAAAGATAAACAGAAAGCTGAAATTCTGTGGTTTTTGTTTAATGAACACAGCACAGAATTTAAAATTCCCAAAGAAGCTTCTTGAAAGGATCTCTGGCACTTTGACACTCTCTTGCTTCTTGTATGCCCTACTTAAGGGTGTGGTGAGACACACAGCCTTCATGATGGTTCACAGTAGTTTTAAGGTAACCTCAGTGCAGGTGTCTGCTTTCCCTGGTACCCTCAGCTGTGCATTTCCACCCCTCCCTTACAGGTGAGCTGGAAATGAACTTTCAGGTAGATCAGTTCTGTCCCAGTACACAGCTGTCCAAACAGCAGTGTCTGAGGACAGAGAGCATCTGGGAATTGAACCACTCCCTTCCTTCATGGACAGAGGCTTTTGGGAGGCTATGTTGAGGGTTTTGCACAAGTGGAATCCTTTCCTCTTCAAGCTTCTATATTGTCCTCGTGCCTGATGGGAGCATAGGAGAGGGTAGGAGCTTGTTCTTTTGAACACTCAGCTACACCTGATAATGTCTCATTAAGCTGTGAACATTTGCACACATATACCACAATACAGCCATTTATTTGCACAAAATAATTGACATTTATCAGACCAATTTGATCATAGCAGAAATGTTTTCAAAAGCATTGACATAATTACAGCATGCAACATATTGATATATGTCAATAATATTGAAAAATCACAGCATGCAATAACATTGACATGATTACAACATCTGAGAAAAAAACCCACAGAAACATATTTCAGGTTTGAAGACTCAGTGCTTAAAAATCTGAGCAGGTTTTATTTACCTGGAATGTAGCTGTGGTATGTGAAGATTATGCCATAGCACTGTTTGTCTCTCAAGAACACCTCAGTCAAATTTTCTGCACATCAGTATAAAATACTGCCTCTTTTAGCTGCCATCTCCACGTGCTCAGGGTGCCAGTATCAAGTTGATTTCTCCGCCTTGCATTCTATTATTACCAGTAAGTGTTCTGCTATAGGCATTCAAACTTAACCCTCCCTAAAGTTAAATGACTTTTTTCTGGCAGTCCTTGGTATTCTTGCAGTCTGAGGTGAAGGCTTTAGTTAAAAAATCTGCACAACCTATTGGAATTGAGAGAAGAAGTAGGAACAGTTAAACACTCTTATGGTATTTGATACTGAATATATACAGAAGACAGCCCTATTGAGAAAGGCTGTTCTGTTTGGATAATGATTTTTGACCTTGAATTTATTTTTTTTTACTCTAAAACCTATATTGCCTTCCAGTGAAAATGGTCATTTTGTCTTCTTGAAAGAAATCTTACAGCTGTAACATGAAATGTAGAGAAGTTAAGGTTCCCAAAGCATTGTCAGCCTTTTCAGATGATGTAGACTCAATTAAGGCAAGTGCTCAAAACTGTACTGTATGGAAAGCTTTTTTAAAAGTAACTGCTGCACATCCTGACTCTTGTCATCTTTCAAACTGCAAAGGCGCATCGACACGAGGTGTTTGATTTTACGGTGCAGAAATGTCTAGGAAAGGTCAAATTCTTTCATTGTTCAGCTTAGAATATATGTGCACATACACACACAGCTATTTTAATGGAAGCACCATGAGGAAATGTTTAACCCACGTCTTCAGTACCTATAGCTGTACTAAGCATAGCAGTCAAATGGGAAAATGCAAAATTGAACCATTGTAAAGCAGCTGTGATTTTCCTATAAGGCTTTGATGTCGTCATTGGCTTAGTCACTGACAGTGTGAGACAAGAGTGTTTTCAACAGAATTCCTTTGTGGTCCGGCTGAATTTCTCTTGACAGACTTCTTGTGTTGCAGCAGCCACCAGAACATTAGTGGAAACAATTGCTTTTCTCTCATCTGCTCAGACAAGATGTTTAAAATTCCGGGCTCAAGGAATGAGAGACAACAGAGATCTGAGGGGAAGCTGTCAGCCTGTGAGGCAAAAGTTGATTAGAAGATGGGCTCTGACCAAGTTTCTACCCGTGACCAGTGTCACTGATAACAGCCTTAACATCCCAGTCCTTGAAGCTTGTGGTACTGCTTCTGTTTTGCCTTTTCTTGCCTCTGTTCAGCATAGCAGGCTTTAGCACTACTTCCAAGGCATTCTCTTATTCCTTTGTAATAACCAAATGTCTTTTATGGTCTCTTAGTTTTCTGCTTCCCCAGCAGAAACCTCCCATTCTTCATTCTCACACTAATCTCCAATTCTGTTTAAAATTGGCCAGGCTAATCTTCCTTTCCCATTGGTAGGCAGCATCACTTCCTTCAGTGATCTCCTCACCTACTGTATCAAGTCTACACTTCATGCTTAGGTTTTTGGGCTTTTTCCTAGTTCTCTGCAGTGTGTTTTTGTTTTAACTTTTCCCTCTCACTAGCAATGCCTAAGATCACCTCACCTTCTTCACTCTATTTTACATATGGGCTCTATGTTCTCAGTCCCTGTGCCAACATTCTTCCATTCCAGCCACAGAGTCCAGCTTTGTAGTGATGTATGTGTAATTCTCAGGCACTTGTCCTGTGTTACACTTGTCTGTTATATCTTTTTGCACTATGCATTGTGATAGGTGATTGTGCTTGCTGCAATCCAGGATATTCTAACAATGTATTACAATCACTGTAATTTGCAACTAACAACTCCATCACTAGAAGAATGTAGAAATTTTACATCATTAAGCTGGGGGGGGAAACCTGGGCATTTTAAAGAGAAAGTACCCTTAGTCCTGGTTACCTTTTCTTTAGCTTTCCCCTATTAATTTCCTAGCCTTAAATACAAGGAACATTTATAATTTGAAAGCCTCAGTATGAGTAGGCTGAGAACAGTGATTCACAGGTGCTCATTTGTTTGTGTATCAGACTCCAGGCCTGAAATGTATTTTTAAAGCCTGCAAGACTGTGTTGAGAGGCCATAAGGGAGAAAGATATTACAGTACAAAGTAGAATCTGCTGCTGGCCAGTTGAATCAATATATGATTCTGTTGAATCATGTTTTCTTTCTCTTCCAATGGTCTCTTATGCTAAGTCTTCAAGCTGAAAGAGTAGGGTTTACCTGGCATACTGGTAAACTACAGAGAGCACAGATGGTATAGGTAGGGATCTATATGTAGGAAATAAATTGGAGAAACAACACTGCTATCCTGAAATACCCAGCTGGAGTGTAACCATAGCACTTGAAATTGAGCTCTAAACCTTGAAAGTGAAAAATAGTGATTTTAAATCTGGCAAAAGAAAACACAATTTCTCAAACTGATACATGATAAGCTAGAGGAATTCTCTCCAGCAAATATTGCGGAGGCTGAAAACTTAGCTGTTACTCTTTATTTTAGACTTATAAAGTTCTCTAAAGTTTAGAAAACTTTAGCTGTTACTCTTTTATTTTTGTTGGGCTATTTTTTAGCCCAAGGAAAATGAGTCTTATTAAAAAGGAACTCGTGACACACATCTGACCTAACATGAATTACTCCTGGCATCAGTTCTTCACTTGTTAGGTAGGGTTGATAATACCTCATCTCTCCCTTCTTTCATTCTTGTCCCTTTAATCTGAGTTTCCAGGGCAAGCACTGAGTTCTAACCCTGTGGGTATAGTACTGCTAGCACAACAAAAGCCTAAATTTTGAGGATTTCACATCCCATGTTTAATATATGTGTGGATGTTCTCTCATGGAAACCTGCCAAAATGAACTGAGTCATTAGATACTCAGCCTTGTGGGTGGATACAAAGGAGTTGTCCTCTACTAGTGTTTAGGCCACTTATAATTATGACAAATTTAACAATATTGTATAATTTGGGGTGACATACCTTAATAGCTCTTTAGTAACCAGTCATTCAGCCAACATTAGCTGTTGCTGATGAGGCTGTTGTGGGGCTTGCATGGTGTTCCAGTGTTTCTTTGCACTGGAAACCCTAAAGTAGGCAGTGTCTTGAGTTGTATACCTTCCTAGTTTCAGAGTAGTTTCGTTATTTCCTGGCTACTTGTAAGCTTCATAGCAGGTTATGCTATTTTTGCCACTCCCCAGTATGTGAAAATTCTCAGCTATTCTCATCTGTCCTACTGCAAAGTTATTTGATGTCATCCATCTGCTTCTGAAGTTTGTTTACATGGGCTGTGTGACTGTGCTGAAGCAGTTTCATACATTATCTGAAGTCAAGGCAGTTTCTGTTGTAATCATTTGCCAATGTCCATGTACCCACCCCCCAACACACCATTTTTTGTGTTTTCCAAAAGCCTAAATGTCAGCAGCATCTAACAGTTCAGATTTAGATTTCCGTGATCAGCTGATGTGCTTACTTTGTGTGTAGACCATAGCCTGTCAGAAATAATGAAGCTGAAAGTGCTTTCAGGAGTGTGAAGTATATGAAGAATAATTGTGGAAGTGAAGGTTTTATGATAGTAACCTATGCTGTTGTTTCTTAAAATTTAGCTATAGCAATAAGTTTAAAAGTTTTCAGGATTTTTTTGTTTCCCTTCCCTTTCCTTTCATGTGAGATATTTTGGTGTGATAAACTATACTTGACAAAACCATCGCATTTGCACATTCTTTCCAAAATTCCGTGGGGCCCTGTTTATGGTATCAACCAGATGAATTCCTTTTTATTTCAGAACTGAGAGCAGAGGTTGAAATTATTGAGCAGATGAGCAGCAGCAGTGGAAGCAGCTCATCGGATTCAGAGAGCTCATCTGGGAGTGAAGATGAAAGCTCCAGCAGCGAGGGGGAAGAGCCAGCACATGTTTCCCCTTCCCAGCCACCACACCAGCAGTACAACAACAGGAATGCTGTTGCTAATGGCACCAGCAGGCCACAAGGAAGCAATCAGCTCATGAACACGCTCCGTAAGTAAATGCTTGTGTCTTACCACTGTGAAAGCTGATTATGACCACTCATTTACTTAGCATGATAGGCTAACTTCATGAAATGCCTTTTGCCAAATAGTAGTTCCAGGGAGCTGCACTGGGTGAAATACATAGGCAGATTTTATGAGCAGGGGGCTGAGACTTGTCTGAAGGTGTGGAGAGCCTGTGGGCATCAGTGCAGTGGTCCCCATTGTCCCTGTTGGGTCTTGATTCAGGCCTCCAAGTAGCCACTGGTGTGGGAGGATCTGGTGCACTGGAGGATGGGATTTATTTTCATGTGAATACACAGATTAAATGGAAATACTGGGGTTGACACATGTCAGTTAAAGGTCTGTAAAGAGCTGTGAACAGCTCAAGGCTGTTCTGGGTTCCTAAGTCCAGTCTTGTGGTCTTCAGTATTGCTTTGTCAGCAGATTTATTGTGTTGGTCTCAGCTGTATTTTCACAAATACCACATTTTGAAGGGAAAATTTAAATGAAAATTATGTTAAAATATTGCAGCTATGGTGTTGCAAGCATTGAATCAGTACAGGCTCACTTCACCCTTTAAGAAGTGTCAGGAACATTTTTAAAGCATAGTTCTGTCCCATGAGACTCTCTCTGGGGACGTGGTGTGCCTCTGTGTTGCTCTTTCCTTACGCTACATCAGGTATATTCTAACTCCATGGAGTTAGAATATTGAATTTACAATTGCCATAAATTGTTCTTAATTCCTCCTGAGGCATATTTGCACATATCTCTTGGCACTCATTCATAGGGAACTGGTGGAGTCTGAATACAGGTATGTGTAGGGTTTCCAGCTTTGAGAAGATAAGTATATTGTACAGACCCCACCAAAAAGCCCTGATGGAAAACTTAGAGACCTGTCAGTCTTGCTGCCAGTAATGAAGGACTAAGTGAAATAAATCCAAAGTTCAACAAAGTCATTAGGACTGTCTCCATTTCCCTGTTTCTGGTTGTGAGCAGCCTCCTCCCTGCTTCTCCTCGACCACAATACTGCATGTGTTCAATGATCTGAAGCCTCTGACTGCAGGAGAATCTGGGAACTACGAGGGTAGCTCCTCTCTTCATGCAGTGCTTTTTGCCTTTGGATTTAAAATATTTTTGCTGTGGGAGAATCACCCCTAACCCAAGTCCTTGTCTCCCGTGTCTTGTCTCTATGTCTGTTGAATAGATGCCCTGCAGCTGCTTTGAGGGGAGGGCAGTGGGAGAATGCTGGAAGAATTAGGTTCAATTATCAGAACACAAGCGTGATTCTTGCCCCTTTTTATCCCCTCTATCTCACCAAATCACAAGTGCTGTGCAAAGCAGGATCAGAGCCAGTAGGTTTGATCCATATCCTGGCCTTTCATCCAATCTCTGCACTTTGGAGGGCAGCCTTTACCATCACAGCAGCTTCGTTCAGCCTTGAGTTGTGATGGCTTTAACAGCCCTTTTGGTTTATTGACATGTGGAGGCCTTGCCTTGGCTACCCAAATGGCCTTATGCCAAAAAAAAATCTGTTTTTAAAGGGTAAAGAAAGCCAAGGAATTCCCCAATGCCTTGTCCCAGAGCCATATATGGGAGCTTTGGTGGGTGGAGACTGTGGAATGTTCTCTGCAGCTGTTAGCTTGGAGAGGGCTGTTGTCCCACCAGGGAGCACCTTTGGTGGCTCTGGAGACAAGGATGCTTGGTTTGGCCTGAATCCAGCTATTAGCCCCATGCAGCTCTTTATGTTCTTGGGCAGTTTCATTAAATCACAGATGATGTTTGCATTCATTTAATGTGTTATTCTTACTTAAATCTTCCAGTGTAAATGTGACTGTTCTTTGGTTTGATTGCCATGAAATGTGAATTGACGCCTACTCACTTGTTGTGTTTTGTTGGTTTTTGTTTTCCATAGGAAATGACTTGCAGTTGAGTGAGTCTGGGAGCGACAGTGATGACTAGAGGCTGAGCTTTTGCTGTTTCTGTTACATATACATGAAGAACTAATTTACCTTGAAGTGATCCTATTGCTTATGAAGAGGAGCTGGCACAGAGATGGTTCCATGTGTGGAATTTTAATAGAAGAAATGCATAGCCCTACAAAATAGCAGATGTCGAGGACTGTTTTACTGTGTGAATTACGTGTATATATTGTGTATATTCTTATTCTGCTAAAGCTTTGAGTACATATGTACAGTGGGTGAGCCAATGTATGTTCCTGTCCACCATCTGTAAGTTTAACATGTAATTATGTGAGGTCATCCAAAAATCTCTTGTTTGTAGGGTATGTTCAGCGCATCATGACTTTGTCAGGGGACTTTTGTATATAGGGTGAGCATGTGCCTACAATGAGTTTAAAAAAACATCCAGGAGCTAGTGTGTGCACTGAAGTGGGACTGCCATAAATTAGGTTTCAATACTAAATTGATTTCTTTGGTTTGGGACTTTTTTAATGCCTTTTTATTGCTGTTTATAGTTGATTTAATAGACTGACTTTTAAACAGTTGGACAATAGGAATGATTAAACCATGTTTGTCACAAACCTTGCTGCATCAGTGCCTTATAAGCAGGTTTTTTAAATAGTGCTTCAGTTCCTGCCACCTTCCCTGTATGGAGCAATACTGAAACCTCAGATTGCTTCTGCAAACAAGAGCTGTGTGTCACATACAGCCTGCTGTGCTCTGAGGGCAGTGACTCTAGCAAAATGAAGGATACACATCAATCACCTAAACTCATCCGAGTAGGAATCAGATAATCATTCTCTTTAGAAACTGAAGGGTCTCATTTAACTCAGACTTTCAGACCTAGTCTTCAGAAATACTTACAATCCCATCTACTAGTGACGTTGCAATGCCACAAATGCAAAATATTTGACTTACTGAAATTCTAAGACTGGAGCCCTCTTTGCAGTTTCCTAGAGAGTGCAAAAAGAGGTGACAAAACAAGTAGCCATGAAACAGCAGAAGTCTCTCTCCCACCACAGTTGTAAAGGTAGACTTTAGTCCATACTGTTCATTGGACGAGACCTCTTTGTGCTTGACAGGAGTACACAGAACATGAAATATTTGCCAAGGGTGAAATTCACCCCTGTTTAAAGGGTGTTTAAAGGGTGCTTAGTTGGATTATTATTAACTTTTTTGCTCACATGGAAAATGAGTGCCATAGGCAGCCTCTTGTGACTTTTTAAAATCAAAATTCTGCTGACATAGGACAAGTTGCACCTTAGTTGTGGTGTAATCCTGAGGAATGGGAAGCTGAATCAGATGCCTTTCCATTCTCAGGTCTCTGCTTTGCACTGCTCTCATCTGTCAGTTTGTGTTTTAACTCCTGTTTGTTTACTGAGCTCTGTCCTTTTTTTTAACATGTTAAAGAGCAAGGGGACATTTGAAGGGAGATTTTATTAAATGGTTTATTTTTTTGCATTAGATACATATTTAGGCATATTTTTGCATTATTGTACATACATTAAAAATACTTGCTTTTTTTTAAAGTGTTTTGTGATGTAGGTATGTATTTTAATGGACAATTATGAAATATACTTGATGAAAAGCCACAATTGCTCTTCTTTTTTTTTTCCTGTTTTCTTTCTTTTTCCCTGTTCTCCCTCTTACAGTAAAAATGGCCTGTTTTACAAGCTTGTACCATTTCAGGATTTCACACTTTGGTACCAGAGATCTGCATGGTATGGTTTGCAGTCTAATAAATGTTAATGCTGCTCCTGACTCTCCCCCAGCTAAAGATCTGAATAAGCAGGGAGACATTTTTCTGATGCCATTTCCCCATTACTGGAGTGAATGCCTGAGTTCTGTTGATATTATTTGCACTCAATGGAAAAGCAGAAGAGTGCAGCATTTTCATTCCTTACCATCCACTACCTTCTCATGTATTCTAAAATCCAGGACATGTCATAGGAAGTTTATTAATTATGTGTAAATAAAAGATATGAAACTTTAGAGGGTAAGATAGCACCAGGCTACATTGATTTGAATCGCTGCTTTAATTGCTAATTAGGACAACAGCTGGGAAAGCTTCATTCAGATAATCAATTTCTGCCTTGTTTTTGTACTTTAGGCCATGTTTTCCTCCCTGACAGATTTTTTCCCTTTCTCTGTTGGTAACCAAATTAACACACAACTGCACCACTTTTAAACTCTGTTTGGCCATGCTTTGCATCCCCCTCAGATGCATCATATCAAGGGTGGCCTGTTGTTCATGAGCTGTTTATGTGCCCTTTTCCACACGCAGGTGAGTGAGTGGCCACAGCCTGCTGGAGGGTGTGAGCCAGCCAGTCCCTATGAGTGTGTGACCAGCCCCTCCCTCCCTGCCATTGTCCCAGTCGGCTCCTGGCATCTCCTCCCTGAGGAGCTCTCTGGCATCTCCACCCTTCCCACAGTTCTCAGGCACTTGGAATGTATTTTGTGGAGGTGAACCATGCAGAGGCAACTTCTAAGATCAGAAAAGGTGGCTGCCACCACCACCAGCAATATGTTGACTTCTTTCTGAATACACCTGTGTGTTTTAAAGCCATTGCCAGCCTGGCATTTTGATTGAGGCCCATGAAATTTTATGGTTTTTTATGTATTAAGAGACACTAACTGTTGTCTATCTGTTCCTATTAGATGCCTGCTCATTGGTTCATAACTTGCAGTAAGTTTCATTTGGATGGAAAAATTGAATCCAAGCAATTATTTTGAATTTTCTTAATTAGTTAGCAATATATTTAACATGCTGGAAAAATTGTTGACTAACATGTTTTGATTAGGCTTGTTAACGAAATAAAGTATTCCTGATTATTTGTGGTAGGTTCTAATCCTGCAGGATGTTAGCACTAGCACATCTTATTACCACACAGTAATTCTTCCACATAAAGCAGGAATTTTTTTTATATGCCAGTTAGTTAAAATGTGGATTAACAGTGTATGTGGAGTACAATTATGAGAATGAATTGAAACTGAGGATTTCTTTGCATTCACGGAGAGCTGCCTGCTGGCCATGGCAGGGTGAGCAGTTCAAGGCAGCTTTGGTTTCTGATGGTTTCTTCTGTTCAGTGACTTCATCCATTTCAGTGGTTTGGTTTTCCTTAAACTTCACCAGCAAACATGGCCTGCTTATGACTTCCAATAACTAGAATTGCTGTAGGAGTAATAAACAATCATGATTTAAGTAGATTATCACAATTTCAAATATTGTTACAATTTTTTAAATTTTTTTTTTCATAAAAGCCTTGGTATCCAAAGGGACAAATTCAGTCATCTGCTTGTCTGGGTGGGATGCCTTACAATACAATTGCAGCAATGCCTAAGCCCATGTCCCAGATTTTAGTCATGTGCAGAAAAACATCCACCCATCTCTGCCCTTGTTCCAGCCCCAAGGGCTGGCCAGCCCTGCCAGCAGGCATGTTTTGAATCACTCCAGCTAAACCATAGGAACAGCCACCTCCAGGCAAAAGGTGTCCCAGGCCCCTGATGAGAGTCACATGTGGAAGAGTGGGTGGCACTGCCCTTTTTCATTCCACCAAAGCATCCCCTCCTCTCACAAGTCTTGGCTGAACTGATTTTGTGGGGAAGGCAGTCTGATGGAGAAAGGTTTTTCTTCAGCATGTCTCGGAATAGCTCTGTGTTTGACTGTGGGTAGTGCATCTATTTTGAAGATGCTCTGCCTGAGTTGATTTGCAGTTTCCTGTATTATACACTAGATATAGACCTGTTTATGTATAGAAAGAGTTTGATGTGCCAAGTTTTACAGTCTTTTTTTCTCCTTCAAAGTCCATTTGCTTGAGTTGTCAAAAAAACCCAAAAAGTTCAACAATCTGTGCATGTCTACTTTTTTTTTTCCATTTGAAAACTGAGAGAAACATAGCCTGGAAATGCATGTGTTGGAGAACACTTATTTTCAGTAATTGCCTATGCTTCATTATTCAGTGTGCTAGCTGCTGAGTCAGAGATCCTGTGGAAAACACAGCTGCCCAGGAATGGGCATCTTGATGGGATGAAGGCTTCTGATGATAACTGTGGATTCAGCTGCTGACGGTGAATGACGACATCTTGGGTCTGTCTGGTTATTTACAGTTTGTTATACCCACACAAATATGTGTGCCATCAAAAGGAAAAGAGTCTTGTTGATGCTTGCCTCACAAACAGAAGCTGCCATGTGGGGGACAGACATGTGGACTAAAAGTTGTTGATCCTACACCCAAACCCTGTTCTCAGAAGATAAATGATCAACAAAACTAACAGTCAGTTAGGCAATAGCTGCCTCTGGTTTATGTGAGAAGGGTGTGTATATAAAATGGGAAAGTCTCTGTTTAGCTATTGCTTCCTATTCCCACTGCTTACACTCCCTTCCTTTCTTTCTTTTGTAATTCCATTACTTCTAGCATAGTTATGCTTTCTGCTGCCAAAAAGTCCTGCAGGAATTTACAGGAAAGGGGGTAGGTGTTGAAATGTTACAAATGCACTGGCTGTATTCATCCTTGCTCTAAACTTACTGTAAATACTGTAAATGACAAAGACCTGGTGAATGGACCCATCTTCCTCCTCCTCCTTGTCTTTGCTTTTTAGGACTAAGCATTGTTCCTTTGGACAAGAGGAAGAAAGTGCAAGATGACAGAGGGTGAAAGACCTCAAGCTGATGCTGCATATGTTGAGGATGCTGTCATGGAGCCATGGCCTGAGCTAGCCTGACTTATCTCACAGCATTGCTGTAAATTGGACACAAAATTCATCGCTACCACTGCCCTGTGGCTGGGATGAGTGGAGGTTGGAGAAAAATCAGGTTGAAAATACCTTGCTAAAGTGATTTGTGCAAGAGTTTTGAGGGGATGATTTGCCTTGCTAAGTTTTGTTTAGCTCTGTCAGTGAGTTTTTGTGTGCCCTGCATAATGGGGGTACCCACACCTCCCTAATTTTTTAGGCAGATGCTGGTGGAAGCAGGGACTGGAGTGAGGCTGACATGTTTTGTTCTTCTGTGTGCTGTTGGATTTCATTCAACTGCTTGTTTTTTACATGGCACTGACAACTAAATGAGACAATTGATGGGATATCTCAGAAGGAATTATATGAGTCTGACCTGAAATCCCACAGAACCTGCAGGTTCTGGTAGCTCTGACTGCGATTTTCATTCTCATAAGCTTTTGTAAAAATAGGGCTTTGTGAAGGGTAGAGTGTAAAAATGCACTAAAAATCATGCTGAAGGTTTTACATGAAAATTTTGACCTGTGTTTCTTCCCAGACCAGCTAGCTTTGTTGTAGGATGCTGTGTGAAAATCTTTGATGCACACTTGTACAGGGTCAACTCTGAAGGAAAGCATGCCCTGCGTGCTCACAGTAAGATATAATTTTCTGCTCCTTTGCCACCCCAGTCAGCCCATAAATTCTGCCATCACCCCTCCATAACTTGGGAATTGGCTTTTTCCTCTATAGCTCTGACACCTCCTTAACATATTCCTACTGCCAGATATTAACAACACTATCAAAACTGAACAAGCACCTGTTCAGGCAAACAGCTACCAAATACTTCAGTGAGCATCATGGATTTTGCTCCAGTGCTCCAAATAAGTATTAAGATTGTGATAGTCTGCTAGGAACACAGACTGTGCTATGAGACCTGCATGCTCATCACTCATCACAAAGATGACAAAAAATTGTGTAAGTGTATGGGACATGTACCAAAATGGTCAATTACACCAGAGCCACAGGCTGTGCCACATGTGCATTGGGAAGCTGAGTGGGAGGAGATGTTTGGGAGTGGTTTGCACAGAGGAGATGACAGCAAGGCTATTGATGGGACTGAAGTGGAGAGAACACAAAAGTGAGAGAGTACCCAGTGATGGCAGCCACAGTGTTCTGTCAGCTGAGTCAGACCATAGCCTCAGAGCAGCCCAGCACAATCAAGGTGAGAGATCACCTTTATGGTGGAGAAGTTTTGAGTGCCCTGAGAGTTACTGGTAGCTGTCACCTGTGGGATTCACATTCTCTGAACCTGAGAAAAGCAGCGAGAGAAGCAGAGAAGAGAACGATCAAAACAATTCTTATCTCATTTGCTGCTCCTGTGTTGTGCCAAAGTAGAATGCAATATGGAGATTGTTTACCCAAAGTGATGGTGTTTTGTTTCCTTGGCCTATCAGGGCCAAGCGCGTGTCCAGACTGCCAGTCAGCAGACAGTCATGAGATTTTGTTCAGTTGAGTTCTTGTTCAGTTTCAGTTTAGATGTAATGTAATATAGTGTAATATGGTATAGAATAATATAGTATAATGAAGTAATTAATTAGCCTTCTGATATCATGGAGTCCTCCTCATCATTCCTCCCACCAATCGGCAAAATTTCACCGATAGTCACCCTCTTCTTCACAATGTGAGAAATGTTTTATTTAGGTATGCAGTCATTGTAATTAGGAAAGAGAGAGTTATTTAGGTCTGGGCTCTGGAGAGCGATGGCAGAAGGGAAGGGTAGAGATGGAGCTCACTCAGGAGCTACAGGCTGTGGTGGTTTCCTCTCTTTTCCAAGAGGAGCTAGTGAGTCTTAAAGGATATCACAAGTTCCCACCGGGAGTTAAGA